AACAAGAAAAAGTCCACTTGCCTGCGAACTGCCAAATTTCCAGCAGCCAGCAGCCTACAGAAGTAGCCTGCAGTACTATACTCTAACCACTGCACCACCAAGGCTATAGGAATTCTATTTGCCATAGGCTCTAGATCAGGGGTGTCAAACTCAAGGCCCGCGGGCTGTATTTGGCTTGTGGTGTGCTTAAATCTGGCCCACGGTGCCGGCCTTGAAATATCAAAGGACTGGCCTGGAGTTGCTTCTGCCAGCAAAAACGGGCTGTGGGGAGGGGACGGCCCATTTTCGGCTGGCAGAGTGCTGCAGGAGGCCATGGAGGCCGAAGACGGGCCTTGTAGGGGCCTCACGGGGGCCTCCGCATGGCCCGTTTTCGGCCAGCAGAGTGCTTCAGGAGGCTGTTGAGGCTGAAAATGGGGCAGAGTGGGCTGTGTGAGGCCTCCCCGTGCCCCATTTAGGCTGGCAGGGGGCTGCAGGGGACATCCATCCCATCTCCCTCTCCCCATGCCCTCCTGACCCACGGAGGAAAACTACAATGCTGGCCCTCGAAGAAATCCAGTTTGACACCCCTGCTCTAGATCAGGGCTCCAGGAAAATTCCTCATCCTGTTTTCCTACCGATCGATCATTCCTTATTTGGGATCACAGGATACTGTCTCCAGCTCCGTTCTCAGGGGAGAGAGAAAGAGAGAGAGAGATACCTTTGGCTTCATGCAAGGAAAGCAGCAGAAGCAGCAGAAGTCTTTCTTTCTCTCCCCCAAACCCTGCTAGAAATGAGTCTTTGCCAGCGGAGCCTCTTGGAGCAGGAGGCCTTGCAGGGTCCCAAAGACTCATTTCTGGCAGTTTGGGGGAGAGAAAGAAAGACTTGCTGCTTTCCTTGTGTGCAGCCAAAAGCAGCAGAAGAAAGAAGCGGAAAGAAGCAGCCTGGTGGCCAGGCTAGGAGCGTGGGGTGAGAGGGGCAAATCCCCCCCACCATCCTTTCCACCCCTCTCCTCACTACCTCGTGTTGTTCGCAATGCAAACAACACAAGCCTTGTGTTCCCATGGGCCATGTGGGTGGCACAGTCTTTTGTCCCCGCACAGCCTGGATTAATTGCTTTGAGGGGTGCTTTGGGGGTGACATTTCTCTGCGGACCACCAGTTTTCCCCGGCCTACTGGTTGGCGACCACTACTCTAGATAATTGTCAATCATTTCTTATTCTAAGTTATAAGTTATAAGCTTTAGAAGGTCTTCAGGTTTTCCTATTGCTTATCAGTGATTAAAAATGCCAGAGAACGAAGCTAATTAACCAACAGGCTGGAGTTTAGCTTTATCCTTTCTGTGTTTAGCAGCTGAGGTGCTGACATTGGTTCAAACTTCTAATTAAAAGCTGAAGTCTACATTGCAGTCGTTTTTAATTTTTATTTGTCTTTGATCCATTCAAGCCGCAATGATGGCATTGATTTAAGTGAGGTTGAGCCTCTTTTAAGGGAGGCCCCAACTGAGATCTAAGCTTGTTTTGACTTACGCAGCCTGAATTAAATATCATTGATTTCACTGGTTCATATAACAAGATTGCAGCTGTGCGTTAGGAAATTTTCTGTGGTTAATGGTTTATTTTAGCACACCCCTGTTTTATGAATGTGTTTTTAAATTTTTTTTTTATTAAAAAATGATAATAAGGGAGGATATCTATGTGCGGAGACTCATAAAACCTGTGGACATGGGCATATATATGCTGTATTTGTGACTTGGTTTTGTTTGTATTCTGCCTTCTCATTTAGAACTTTCTCATTTAGAGTAACAGAGTTGGAAGGGATCTTGGAGGTCTTCTAGTCCAACCCACTGCTTAGGCAGGAAACCCTATACCATTTCATACAAATGGCGGTCCAATCTCTTCTTAAAAACTTCCACTGTTGGAGCATTCAGAACTTCTGGAGGCAAGTTGTTCCACTGATTAATTGTTCTATTTTCCAAAGCACCAAAAAGCATGATGAGAAACAATGGATGGAAACTAACCAAGGAGAGAAGCAACCTAGAACTAAGGAGAAATTTCCTATTGGTGACAGCAATCAATCAATGGAATGGCTTGCTTTCAGAAATTGTGGGTGCTCCATCACTGGAGGCTTTCAAGAAGAGACTGGAAAACCATTTGTCTGAAATGGTGTAGGTTCTCCTGCTTGAGTAGGGGGCTGGACTAGAAGACCTCCAAGATCCCTTCCAACTCTATTATTCTGTGTTCTGTATATTTTTCAGTCTATAGTTCCAAATAAACATTATTATTTTTTTTCAGATAGAAATTTAGCTCTAGGAGTATCCAGAAAGAAACCATTTTAATTTTTTTCCCCACAGAGAAACTGACTTTTCAGCTGAGGGAGTAAAGATCAATATATTTGCAGTTTAGGCTGAAAACATTTAATCCAAAGCATGAAAATAAAATTGTTCCGATGAATGGTGTTGATTGGAAGAAAAGTTGAGGTTCTAATGCAAGAATTCCACCTTATTTTCAAATAGGCAGCTTATAATTTTTCATCTTACTTCTTTGATATAAGGGGTTGGAAGGTTGCCTAAGATAGAACAGTCTCTGGCTATTGTTTTGGTAAATATTAAAGTTTTTTTTAAAAAAAGAATATTAATGAAAGAAATAACTTTTGCAACAATATTGGGTGGAATAGACCAACAGATTTGATTAAACAAAAAGAAAAAAAGTCATGGGATGGAATACATTAGTTTTACAGAAGAATTGGATTGCATTTGCTGTTTATTGTATTACTGAAAAATTGTTTTGTGAGATGGACATCTCCCTTTATTAGCCCAGTCTGCGTACATCGGATGCAAAAATAGAATTTCTTTGTTAAAAAAGATGCTCAGGCAACTCCTTTCATAAAACTACTGTTGTTGTTTACACAGATTCAGCAAGATCGTGTGAAGCAAATGGACATTGAGAACAGCTTCATCACCAAATGGAAAGACACACAAGTATGTAAAGGCATTGTGATGACCCGGGGCGTGGCACAAAGGCAACACAGTCAAATAAGCAATAAGAATCCCTTTATTATCACCAACTTTGACCCCAATGTCCAGGTTACCTTCGGTTGGAGAAAAACTCTCCCAGGAACAGCCTTTAACTGTAAAAAATTCAGTCCAAAACAAGGTACACACAAACTGTAACTTAAAATCCAGACAAACCAAACTGAAGTAATTAGTTTGACAGGGCAGGAGAAAGAATTTCAGACTTGAAAGCATGGCAAAACTCACATAGTTGGGAAGATGCCAGGAACACAGATAAGCCATGACAATGCAAGATAAATTCATGTTTGCTCCCAACAGCTGCATGCAGCTTCCTTTTTTATACACTGTGTTCCCAGCTGCAGCTAATGTACAGAATCAGGGCCCTTTCCTCTCCCGTAAGCCACGCAGCTCAGTTGCTCCCTTCTCCGTTCCTCCTTGCATGCCCTAGGATGAAGAGGAGGTGGGCCTGGGTCTTCCTCTGAATTCCCTCTCCCTTGTTCTACCTCTCCCCTGCTCTGCCCAGCCAGACTCTGCCCTTCCCCAATTTCTTCCACAGCCAACTGAGCCATACTCCTACTCCCTGTCAGCTGTTCGGCTTCCTCCTCTGAATAAATATGGTTCACAAACACAGGACAGCTTTCCAGCTGATAAGCCCAGAGTCTCAACCACTGAGCCAACGCGCTGCCCAATACAGTATTAAACAATGCATATTAATAATGGGTACCTAATAATAAAAACTATCCAAATACTGACAATCATAATAATTCTTCCCTGAAGAAGCCCATCAGCATTGAGGTCTTCAGATCTTCAAACTATGGAGCATCTATCTAGAATCTGTAGTTCTCTGGTACAGATCCTTGTTCTTAATCATAATTACATAATTTTCTGACACTGAGAGCAATCAACCATGGAGCAGCTTGCCTTTACAAGTTGTGGGAGCTTCATCACTGGAGGTTTTCAAGAAGAGACTGGACTGCCTTCTGTCAGAAATGGTGTTGGTCTGCTTTGGCGGAGGGGGGTGTTGGACTAGACCTACAAAGGTCCCTTCCAACTCGGTTAATCTGTATTGCTTACTGCTCATTTGGTACGTTTAAATTTAATAAATAAATCTTTAAGTAGCCAGGGGCATTGAAGGAAAGTTTGCCTTTGCTTTAAGGATATTTTAGTCATTCTTTTGTGGACTATGTATTTACCCTCATTCATTTTTGGCATATGACAAAATTGAATAAATGAATGAATGAATTCTTTATTGGCCAAGTGTGATTAGGAATTTGTTTTGGTGCAAATGCTCTCAGTGTACATAAAAGAAAAGATACATTCATCAGTCAAGAATCATAAGATACAACACTTAGTAATAGTCATAGGGTACAATAAGCAATCAAATCATACTAGGAAACAGTCAATATAAATTGTAAGGATACAAGCGACAAAGTTACAGTCATACAGTCATAAGTGGGAGGAGATGGGTGATAAGGAGTGATGAGAAGATTAATAGTAGTGCAGGCCTTGTAAATAATTGGACAGTATTGAGGTAATTATTTGTTTAACAGATGGCTTTCGGGAAAAACTGTCCTTGTGCCTAGTTGTTCTGGTGTGCAGTGCTCTATAGTGTCGTTTTGAGGGAAGGAGTTGAAACAGTTTATGTCCAGGATGTGAGGGGTCTGTAAATATTTTCACAGCCCTCTTTTTGACTTGTGCAATATGCAGGTCCTCAATGGAAGGCAAGTTGGTAGTAATTGTTTTTTCTGCAGTCCTAATTACTCTCTGGAGTCTGTGTCTGTCCTGTTGGGTTGCAGAACCATTCATTGTCTTACATGTGCAGCCTTCAAGATTCAATTGTTTCAGGAAATCTTAATTTACTAGGACAAGGAAAAAAAGAGGCTACCCAGTGTTGATTCATGCCTTTTTAAAAAAATAAAATATCTTTTATTTTAGATTTCTCAGGCTGGAGACTTGCTAATTGACGTTTACGTGGAAAGGAAAGAACCCGACTCCAGCATTATAATAAGGGTTCGTATGACTTTTTCTTCCTTTTTTTATTATAAAAAATGTGTAATTCCTCTGCTGCTTTAAGGCAGTTCAAAAGGCCATTCTTTTTTTAAAAAAAAACATTGGCATAAGTTGCTAATATTTAAATTTATAACTATTTAATTATTATCACATTTTGCAGAACAGATCCCATACTCGATCATAACCATGCACGGAACCCTATGCCTAGTTTAATGAAAAGAAGGACCAGGGGTGACATGATAGCAGAATTCCAATCAGGAGTGGACTTCAAAAATTCCAGTAACTGGTTTGCTGCCCAATTGCTGGGTGGGTGTGGCCATGGTGGGCATGGCCAACCAGAACTTCTGGGAAGGCCCTCTTTTGCCTTCCCAAGGGTCCAGGGGCTTCCCTCGGGCCTCTGGGAAGGCAAAAATGGCCTCCCCTGGGCTCTGGAGGCCCTCTGGAAGCCAGAAACAGGCCTGTTTCTAGATTCCCAGTACTTCCGGTAGGGCCACTTTTCACATTCCCAAGGATCCGGAGGCTTCCATATTGGACGAAAATACATACTTGTTTAAAAAAAAATGTTAAAGCACCACATAGACTATAAGCCCAAAATATTTCTGTTAGGCATAGTACCAGGAAAATATGATAAAAGGGATATATATTTAATATTACATGTCGTGACGGCAGCAAGAATTGTAGATGCACAACATTGGAAAAATGAGGAATCACCTGTAGAAGAAGAAGTAATTTTTTAAAAATGCTAGATTGTGTAGAAATGGATAGGTTGACATTCAAGATAAAAGATAAAGAATATTTTCAAACATGGGACTTATTCTATCAATGGCTGGACAATACAAGTAGAAATTAGAAATTGGAAAAATACTACTATGTATGTTTTATGTTTAATGTATTATTATATTACATACTATTATGTAAGAAAATTAACCTAGACAATACACTGCTCATAAAGGAAAATATATAAATTAACTGTTAAAAAAAGTTAGAGGGATTTGATGAAGATTGGTTTCATTATAATTTTAGATTACACATCCTAGGTCATAGGCCTTTTTTTTTTTTTAGTTTGAAGCAGAGGTGGGCTTCAAAAAATTTAGCAACCGGTTCACTGCCCAGTTGCTGGGTGGGCATGGCCATGGTGGGCGTGGCCTAGTCGGCCTCCTGCACCATTCTGGCCTGGGAGTGAAAATGGGCCACGAGGGGGGACGGACGGACGGACGATTTTGCCCTCCCCAGGCTCTGGAGGCTTTCCTCAATCCTCTAGGACAGGGGTCCCCAACCACCGGTCC